AGATAAGATACTTGTCATTTATTTACCTCTGTTATATTTGTACCTCCGAGCAGGTATCTTGCACAACTTATGATACATTACTTTTATATTTTAACTCTCAAGCTTCAAAGCTTTGCATTAGCTTTCTAATGTTATGCAAGGCTTGGTATGCTTTCTCTTCTTTTTGATCTGCTGAACATTTTGGGAGTCTGCATCTTTAATTGCCACCTATCAAACTTGTTCAGGTCTGGAAAGATTACCCTAAGTAATTGATTTACAGCAATAATATTTACCTTTAGAGATCACAATTCTCTGTATGACTTCATATGATATTGGCAATACAAACTGAAGTTCAAAACAATACTAAAATAGTGTCATAATAATATGAGACTATGAAGATCTTCTGAATGTTGGGCATTTTAAATTTATTAAAAGAAACTTCTGGAGCTCCAAATCTTGAATCGTAAGATTTTTTAATATATTTTTTATGCTTTAGTCCCAGCACCCTATCTGCAACACTAGGGTGTTATATACTGAACTAGAGTATATAAAGCATTCTAACAATGTCTTGGGTTTGTTGCAAACTGTTAGTTCCCCAGAGCCCATCATATATTTTGACAGGAAACAACCAAAATAATAAAAGAACTATATTTTTACAATAGTTCCAACCGTGTATTTCTGATATTTACAGAAGTATAGATTAATACTTTAAACTTCTTTAAGATTACTTTTTTTTTAGTTTTCCAACATTTATAATACAGGTTGCAAAAATTGCTTATTTGTAGTTAAATAGACAAATTCCAGTAATAAAAATTTTCTTGTCAGCAGCTAAAACAAGAAAGAGAATGTACCCAGATCTTTTTTTAAAAAATCCCTAAAGACTTTAAAGGGAAAGAACATAATCAGCTGTACAATATGCCTGAGTGTTTTAAAATGCTGAATTGTTCAGAATAAGCAACCATGGCTGTAGCATATTGGTAAATCACTTTCCACTGGGCAGAAAAACTAACAAATCATGAACCTTCCACCCTTGGTTGTTTAGCATTCTTTCCAAACCAGCATTATTTCTCAATTAACAAGTCAGAATAAAACCAGATAAATTAAAAACTTTATCTTATCATGACTGAAGTGTTCCTTCATTTTTTCAATAATTTAAATTCAGGTTATTTCTCTTTAAGGCTTGCTGCCACAGATATGGAAACAAAATCAGGAACAACCAGCAGCAAAGCAAGTCAGACCGTTTTCTTATGCATCTACTTTCTGTTTCCATGGAAATGGAAAGACACAGGGAAAAATGATAAGAACGATATCCATTTTTTTCCTATCTCAAACTGTGTTGGTGTTTCCGGGGGGGGGGGGGGGTAGCCAGTGAAGGGAACAAGAAGGAATGACTAAGAATATGGTGTCATATTTCAGCAGAAAACTGACCTGGGCTACAAAAAACAGCTACCAAACAATTTCCACCATCACTTAAGAAGGGATTTTCAAAACTGTGGATTGCAACCTTTCAATAAATGTGTGGCAAGTTACACTCCCAATCTGCTGGTACTGGGCTGGGCCAAGTGAATTATTCACATATCAGGCTTCTTATCTGACAGTTTTTTTGAGAGAAAAACGGCTGTTACCATGAGTCACTGAAGAGAGGCCCAGCTCTGGGAGAAAATTCTGAGAGAAATCCAGTTCTAGTTAGAAAGCTTGGCTTGCCCAGATGTGCTAGATCACTGCGACAATTCACCAGGACCAACCAACAGCTGTCTTGTCCAGGAAAAACAGAAGTTTTGTCAGAGAGTTCCAAGAGTTTTGTTATGAGAGAGGAGAGTCACACAAATTATTTTAAGAAACTGTGTCACCACAAGGTTTGAGGATCTCTGACTTAGTAATTTGTAGATTTCAGAGCTGCAGTGTTTAGGAAGCCTGATCTATATTTGCCAACAAGAGAAGATGTGAAGAACTTTGCAAGAACTTCTATAACAGATGCTAACAGAGAGCAGATATTAAAATCTGATTATACAAATAACCTATTGCTATTGATAAAACTCACAGATCAGGTATGAAGAATGCCAAATCCAGTCCCCAGTTTTTTATTTATAAGCTCTTAGATGAGGGATTGAGAAAGTCTACTGCCTTAGGCCATGGAGACCTGTTACCAAATCAAATCATAAACATACTAATGATGTGGTACCAAATATGCAATTCTTATAGTTTAATAATAATAAGTATTCAAATATTTTTCTAATTTCTTTAGAAGAAAATGTTCTCTTTTCAATTATGCTTTACATCCAATTGCAATAATCTTTAGGAGGCATATTTAAAACTTTAGATACACAAGTATACCTATTGTTTGATGTGTTAGATTTTCATCATAACCAATTAAATCTTTTCCATTTGATATTCAGGCTGCCCCTCCTGTTAAATCTCCATTAGCTACTTATCGAAAAAGTTGCAAAGAGGATGTTAACCAAACAATAATCTGAAAAAAAGAGGCCACACTTCTTTTCGATTTGGCCTGTTCCCTAATTATAAGAAGCATCTGTATTATACAGGTTCAGATATATTTGTTACTTGGAAAAAGAAATGGTAGGTGGAAAGAATAAAACATAAAACATTTTAATTTCTGCTGTCTAACTTTCCTGAAAGTCGATTGACAAAGGAGAAAAATAACAGAGAATCATGCAGAAAGAAGGTGTCAGAAGTTGCTTCTAGTCTTTATACTAGCTGCCTACATTCCCTTCTGAATCACCTTGTATGTAGAAGCAACTCCTGGATGGAGTTCTGTACATGGAAGTCCATGACCCTAGGATACATGATATAGTAAATTAGCTTTTACCCTACTTAAGGTCTCTATCCTTATTAGTATAAACTAGAAGCAAGACCCTTGCACTATAATTTCATCAGGGACAATTATACAACTGTGGCAAATACCTATATCTAAAAAAGGATCATTCACTGAAGTCATGTTTCCAAAGGGATATCAGAATAAGAATAGATTTAATGCTATATAAAATTGCAAAAATATGAGGCAGGCAAATGGAATTCAACAAAGAATCATGTAAGATTCATCAGGTTTCTGACACAAACTCTGCATAATAATTAGACACCAAAGAATTTCACAAGTTGAAAAAGATACTAGATATGTCTATTATCTGTTTTTTGTAACATCTCACCTTAGCAGAAGTTCTGAAGTTACTTCTGATAATGATATTATCCAGTCATAGATGTTGGATAATAAGAGAGTGATCAAACACAAAGAAAATGATGCACAGTATATGTCTATCAAAATGACAGGAAAGTTAAGCATACAGTCAAGTCTCTTTCAGTAACATAAGCAGAAGTATAAAAATTTTAAAGGATGCTATTTAATTTATATATGTCATAAATTCAAATGTTAACAAACCAAACAGAACATCATATGACCTTCCAATCATTAAGATCACATAAAAACATACTATTCAAATACTATTAGTTAGACTGATTGTAGTACATCTTTTTATTTCCTATCGGGCTACATTGGACAATGTCAGCTTAGGCTGTGCCCACGTACCTGGGAATACATCTCACCAAGTCACATGAGACTAACTTAAAAAGTACACATTACATCAGGGTTGATATAGTCCATATATCAATAATATGGCATACTATTATTTAGATACCTCTTTTCACAGTAATGAGATCATAGTAATAATTAAATTGGGATGCTAGTTTAGACAGTTTTATAACTTAGCAGGATGCTCAGAATCTGCACCCTTAAAAAAATAGACCATTTCAACATTAACCCCTGAGAAAAGATTCTGATGCTGCCACAAAAGTGATAGTAGACAAAAGCCAGTAAACCATCTCAACTTATTATTCCCTCTGATCAAATCATTACCTTTATTAACTTCAGCTAAAAAAAAACCCTAACATCACTTCAACAATATCCAACTTGTGAAAACTATTCATATAATATTCATATATCAGGAATGTTTATGGGACTAATACAGACATGGAATTTATTAGCTCAACATCATGCAATAAAATTGTATTAAACTCAGAAAATACAAAAAAGTGATACATTCTTATGAAGCAAAAAAGAAGAAAGCTAATGCTGAAAGAGATTGTTCTCAGATTAATTCTGAATAAACTGTACTCCCTGTCATCAGTTATATCCAGGATTTAACAAATTATTTAATAATCAAATACTATCTCCAAACTTAATGAAATACTGGAAAAGCAAAAACAAATTCTCCATTTGTGAAAAACATATTCTCCATTTGTGGCAAGATTAGTCAAATCTTCCCTGATGTGGTAGCCTCTGCATGTGCTGAGATACCGTTCTCTAAATTGTTTCTAAGTCCATGCAAACATTGATGCATTCATTGTATCTAGGCAGCTATGAATTATGCATTATAACGTATGTAGTGTACTCATAAATATCAAATAATTCATCTATACAACCAATTCAAAACAATTTGATAATTTACATAGATAATAAGTTTGTCTAATGGTTCAGTTTTGAAAGCAAAAAGGGTACTGTGGAGCATATATGTAGCAACTCCTCTTTAAAGCAGCCACCATATTTCTGATTACAAGGTAATCAGATGGTCCTTTGCAGGGCCATCCTAGGAAAAAAACACATTCAAGAATTTGCAGACAAGTGTTGCATATGTGTGCTAAAGAAAAGAGGGAAATGACAACATACCTCTCTACACATAGAATAAAAGTCCACCTGAAACAAAGACAGAGGACATATAGAACTCCCAAATACCTATGCACAACTTTAATAGCAGAATTATAGCCATTATCACAAAAATACCTTTATATATCAAAAGAAGGAAATGTACCATTTATGTTCAAATAATTAGTCTTATAATAAAAATATTGAAAATAGAGCTGTAATTTAATATTACAGCTCATGAAACACCACAGCACTTGTTTGAGTTTTCCTTAGGTTATTCTAAAAAAATAAAACTTTTAAAAATATGAGAATTATTTAGCTATAAATCAACAGGTTCTTGGATGGCTTACACAATCACTATACTTACTTGAATCCTCCCATCGGAGCAGATGCAGTTTCCAAGCCGAGTAATACAGAAACCCCAAGACCAAAAAGAGGCAGAGAGCAAGTAGCACGTTACGCATAAACACCAGAAGTCCCATCTTCATACGGAATAGCTCTTCTATAAAATCTGGGTGGAAAAAAAAAGGGGTATTCTCAAATTGGTTTATATAGCATAAGATTAAGATGTTTGACTAGGACTGGAAAGACCAAGGTTCTGGTCTCACCTGGTGACTTTGAGCAATTACTTTCATTCAATCCAACCAACTTTGCATGGATGTTGTTATGGGGATCAATTGGAGGAAAGAACCTTATGTAGATCAACTTGAGTTCCTAGAGAAAATTTGGGATATACAGCAATTCTAATAAAGAAATAAATTTAAAAACTAACTATGTTTAAGTTATCTAAGCATGCTCCATTCCCAACATATAATATCCAAACATGCTTATTCATGACACCGGAGTGGAATTAAGTTTTGTGAAATGAACAGGATGTATTTCTAAGTAATTTTCTGCTTTTCCAAGCGCGATTCAGAAATGCTGCTGATAGGTGTTATTAAAAAGCTTAATCTGAAGAACCTGTTCACTATTGCATTGTTTCTCAGGAATATACTATTTTGTTTATGTAAAGCAATACCCAAAGTAAATTGTCATGCCAAAAAAAATATAGAATAGAATTCTTTATTGGCCAAGTGTGATTGGACACACAAGTCTTGGTGCAAATGCTTTCAGTGTACATAAAAGAAAAGATACATTCGTCAAGAGTCAAGAATCATCAGGTACAACACTTAATAATATAGGGTACAATAAGCAATTAAATCATACTAGGAAACAGTCCATATAAATCATAAGGATACAAGCAACAAAGTTACAATCATACAGTCACAAGTGAGAGGGGATGGGCGATAAGGAGTGATGAGAAGATTAATACTAATAGTAATGCAGAGTTTGTAAATAGTTGGACAGTGTTGAGGGAATTATTTGTTTAGCAGAGTGATGGCATTCAGGGAAAAACTGTCCTTGTGTCTAGTTGTTCTGGTGTGCAGTACTCTATAGTGTCATTTTGAGGGAAGGAGTTGAAACAGTTTATGTCCGGGATGTGAGGGGTCTGTAAATATTTTCACAGCCTCTTTTTGACTTGTGTAGTATACAGGTCCTCGATTGAAGGCAGGTTGGTAGTAATTGTTTTTTCTGCAGTCCTAATTACTCTCTGGAGTCTGTGTCTGTCTTGTTGGGTTGCAAAATGAAACCAGACAGTTATAGAGGTGCAGATGACAGACTCAATAATTCCTCTGTAGAACTGTATCAGCAGCTCCTTGGGCAGTTTGAGCTTTCTGAGTTGGTGCTGAAAGAACATTCTTTGTTGTGCTTTTTGATGACGTTTTTAATGTTAGGTGTCCATTTTAAGTCTTGTGATATGATAGAACCTAGAAATTTGAAGGTCTCTACTGTTGATACTGTGTTGTCTAGTATTGTTAGAGGTGGTAGTATGGTAGTATATTTCACATAACTAAGAAATACAGTATAACCAATACCTCTTAATTATATGAGTAACTAAAAATAGCAAGAGCACTTAGACTTGTATATCGCTTTATAGTGCGTTACAGCCCTCTCTAAACAGTTTACAGAGTCAGTATATTTCCCCCAACAATTTTGGTCCTCATTTTACCCACCTTGGAAGGATGGAAGGCTGAGTCAACCTTGAGCCTGGTAAGATTTGAACTGCCAAATTGCAGTAGAAATAGCTTGCAGTACTGCACTCCAACCACTGCGCCACCGAGGCTCTTTTAAAAAATAATTAAACTACTTAAAATAATTACTTTAATACAAAGTTATAACAACCCATGTCATGATGTAGCAAGAATAATTGCTTGCTGAGCTATGGAAGATGCAACTCTAGAATGGACTACTAACTTATTGCATTGGTCACTGTGGTTAAATTGGTAAGTTGTATAAGAATCACAAGAACGAATATTTTGGAGGAATTGCTCATTTGCATTATTTTGGACCAGCAACATACAAACCTAGATCAAGAGACAGAACTGAGCCACAAACTTAGTCACATGCCTGTCCTTTCTCTGATCTCCCTTTAGCAAGAGCAGTCAGAATAGAACTGGAAGGGACCTTGGAGTTCTTCTAGTCCAGCCCTCTAGGAGACCCTATACCTGGTACCATTTCAGATAGGTGGCTGTCCAGTCTTTTCTTAAAAATCTCCAGTGATGGAACAACCACAACTTCCAAAGGCAAGCTGTTCCACTGGTTAATTGTCCTCACTGTTAGGAAGTTTGTCCTTAATTCCAGATTGTTTTTCTCCTTGATTAATTTCCATCCATTGTTTCTTGTCTTGCCTTCTGGTGCTTTGGAAAACAAGTTGATCCCCTCTGTCAACACTGAATCACTTGGTGAATCTTTTTGTGGCAGCCCCTCAAATACTGGAATACCATACCCAATTCCTGCAACCATTCTTCAAATGTTTTTGTCTCCAGGCCCTTAGTTGCTCTTCTTTGCACTTTTTCCAAAGTCTCAACATCTTTTTTGTAATATGGTGACCAAAACTGGATGCAGTATTCCAGGTGTAGTCATACTAAGGATTTATAAAGCAGTACTTAGCTAACTATTTCCTGTTTTGATCCAACCCCATTTTTAAAAACTAGCTTAGTCAGGAAACCACACAAATCCTAAAAGAAGAACTCATGGTTAAATGCACACACACATCAATGAAAGACAGTGAGAAGAGGAAGCACTCAATCCTGTTTTCAGTTCACTATCCCCTGCAGCTAAACTCAATCAGAAATTACATCTTGTTAAATTACATATTAAAACCACCTGGGTAGGTACTGTGTGATCTATTCTTCATTGTGTCCAATTTAGTTTTTCTATTTTATTAAAATGTTTTAACAGAGTACTGGCCAAACTATTCTGAATTCCACAATAACCCCAGGCAAGCTGAAGCAATTATAGTGATATTCATATTTTATTCAACAGGATGTGAAATTTAGATAGACAATATGAATTGATTTCAGGGTAATTTGAGGCATACATTGCCTAGATATATACACACAGTAATGCTAAACCAGAATGCAGTTGTTTGGATTCAGTTTAACATGTTCTTTCATAAATTTTGATTTATTACTTAATATGTTCTCAAGCCCAAACACAACAGTCAAGCATGAGAACAAAATGTCTGACTAAAGTTACTAGACTGAGGCAGTTGTTGCTCTTTGGCCCACTTCACTTAATTCTTAGTTTACAGACTACGTGATGTAGGAGAATACAAGTAGGAATGAGAGCGCTTTAGGAATTAAAAGATAGGTTCCTTTTGATCTTTCAGCAACAAAAGAAAAGCATCACTTCAGCCACGACTATGCACAAGAACCCTGAAAAGGCAACTTCATGTTAGCTTAATTCCAACAGGTTGCCAAATCATGGCTTCAACTTTCCATAGTCTGTTTCCAAATACCTTCTCCAAACATGTGGCAAGTGAAAATGCCATGGGCTGGCTTTGCTGAGAGCACTCTGGTAGGAAAAAATATGTTCCATAAATAAATAAGCAATGCTGAGAGTTTCCTCCAACATCAAAGAAAAGGACTAATGGTACCCCTCATCAAGATGCTATGAATGAGCAATTATAATTCCCCCTGAACCCTGCTCCCTGCTAAACATTTCCCCTGAACTTCAATATTCCATTTGACCAAATAACGAGGAAAGGCCGTACCTTGAATGTCTCTATGCATTGTGTATATCCTGCTGTTGCACTGTTTGTTGCTTCCTTCTAACCAATTTGCTGTGAACATATTGCAGATATCTCCTGACAGCCAGATGAAGCTCTAAAGTTGCAACTGGATAAATTAGAAATCTAAATTTTCAGAAATCAGCATTCAAAAGGATACAGGTAGTCCTCAACTTACAACCCTTCCTTTAGTGACCATTCAAAGTTACAATGTCACTAAGAAAGTAACTTATGACCTGTTTTCACACCTATGACTACTGCAGTATCTCTATGGCCATGTGATCAAAATTCATCTTCTTGACAACTTCATGTATTTATGACAGCTGCACTGTGCCAGAGTCCTGTGATCACCATTTGTAATCTTCCCAGTTGGCTTCTGACAAGCAAAGTCACTGGGGGAAAGCCAGGTTCACTTAACAACCTCATGATTCACTGAACAAATCCAGTGGTTTGCTTAAGAATTGTGGCAAAAAGGACGTAATGTGGGGCAAAACAACTGCCTTGGTTAATAGTAGGAATTTTCAGCTAACTGTGGTCATAAGTTAAGGACTACCTGTGTAGCCAAAGCCATTATTGCAATAGTGTACCACTGCTGAAATAAAACAAAAACCTTCTAACCGTAAATTTGATAAGAGGCAGAGTTGCTAAAAAAGGGGATGTCCAACTTTCACTATTACTGTTATAACCCTTTTCATAAAAGTCTAGGAAGCATATATACTCTACTCAGCCATTTATATCAATGATTTGCAAACTCTGATCTGACAATCATGAGATGATTCCCCCACACCCTTTCCATTTTTTCACCAATCAAAACTGGTATGCTACCTGAGCCCCTTGCCTCCTTATATTCACCAAAAATCAACTGGCCAGACCAGGGCCACATTCTGCCTCAACCTGCCATCTCTCTGCATTCACTGCCAGTCAGTTGGCCAAACAAGAGCCAATTCACCAACTCAGCCCCACATCCCTGCATTTACCACCAATCAGCTACTCTGCACCTCAGTACCCAACATTCAATATTCCCTGCCAATTAATAATGGATTAGTTCTGAAAACATTGATTTACTGAAACACGCAAAGGTGAATTCCCAAGCTCTTGAAGTCAAAAACAAGAAGGGATTATTGTTTATTTAATTGTGTGATTTTGGCACTTTCAAGAATCTATATTAGTTGTCCACATTCATAATTACACAAAGTTGAAGAAATGCTAGTTTAAATCAATAGGAGTAGCTGACAAAGGTGCTCTAATCAATGTTTAAAAAGCAGGACTGGCCAAACCAACCATTCTTATTTATTATTGCAAATTTACAAAGGCTGACATGTTGGAACTACTACACCCAAATCCTTCTCATGTGTGCTGCTTTTGAATCAGATCTTCCACATCCTGTACATGTTTCTTTTGTTTTCCTTAACTAGATGTATAACTTTACAATTCTCCCTGTTAAGTTTAATTATTTTGTTTTCCAGCCAAAGTCTTGTGGAATTTCCCCCCTCTCTTTCCAAGAACGGAGTATAGTCCTTGACATACAGCCACAATTAGGACCAGAATTTCTGTTGCTAAGCAAGGTGGTTAAGTGAGTTATGCCCCATTTTACCACATTTTTGCTATGATTGTTAAATGAATCACATGGTTGTTCAGTGAATCTCCTTTCTTCCATTGATTTTGCTTGTTGGAAGAAGGCTGCAAATGACAATCATATGACATGGATTCTGCATGGATGCTGTAATAAATACATGCTGGTTGCCAAGTGCCAGATTTTGATCACATGATTGTGACAGTTATAACTGTAAGTCATAACTGTGAGGATTAATTGTAAGTCATTTTTTTCAGTGTTGCTGTAATTAAGAACAGCCATAAAAGAATGATTTTAAGTCAAGGATTACTTGTATTAGAAACCTCATCTTGTCCATGACTTAATGAAAGAGGCGCATCTTAGGCTTGTCTTCAACCTTGTCTTGCTTGAGCCATTATGCTGTTTGTATATGGCTTGAGCCTAACAAAGTTGTAACTTTGTATTTTGTTGGCCCAAAAAGTCGGTGGCCAGTAATCCTTAATCATTACAATAAGAGAAAAGAGCCAAATTATGGTTGGAGAGTATTTCTGTCGCTTCACTCAAAGGACAAAGAAGATACACTAATTCATCCTGTACTCAATATATTCGATTTTGCTATTCAAGAGATCCGTAAAAAGTATAAGGTCCCTTAGAATTTACCAAGGATAGGGCATATGGATCTATTGTGATATGTACATGTAATCATGTGCTCAGCCATACATTTATTGGTAGATAAACAGTATTACAAAAACACTTACAGACTGCAGTGGTTTCCCAAATTAATCAAGCAAGCATTCTTTGCCATAGCATCTTCCCTTTCAAAACCCTACTCAACTACGCCATGCTGAAATGTGTTTGGCCCCCAATCCTACTGGCATTTCATAACTGTTCGAAAGTCAGTAAGTTCCCCCAACCATGTAGGTTACATGAGCTCATCACTGAGATTTTTCTTGACATGATTGTGATTGTGTTTGAATTTGATTGTCCTTGAGTGCAATTGTACTATTCTTTGTGTTATTCTTGGGTACTGTTATATTGTTTTTATTTCATTGATTTTAATTCTAAATTCACCACCCAGAGTCACAACTGCAAGATAGATTATTCTATAGATTGAAGTACTGGTAACCCTCAATTTGTTTAATGACCATTCAAGGTTACAATGGCAGTGAAGGAAGTGACTTATGACTGGTTTTCACACTTATGATCATTGCAGCATCTCCATAGTCATGTGATCAAAATTCAGACGCTTGGCAACTGAGGGGCTGCCACAGAGAGGAAGGAGTCAAGCTATTTTCTAAAGCGCCTGAAGGCCAGACAAGGAATAATGGATGGAAACTGAACAAGGAGAGATTTAACCTGGAAATAAGGAGAAACTTTCTGACAGTGAGAACAATCAACCAATGGAACAGCTTGCCCTCGGAAATCGTGGGAGCGCCATCACTTGAGACTTTCAAGAAATGGTGTCACAAATGGTGTAGGGTCTCCCGCTTAGGCGGGGGGTTGGACTAGATGACCTACAAGGTCCCTTCCAACTCTGATTATCTATTATCTGGCTCATACTTATGATGGTTACAGTGTCCTGGAATCATGGAGCTCCTGACAAGCAAACTCAATATGGAAGCCAGATTCACTTAAAAACTGTGTTACTAACTTAACAGCTGGAGTGATTCACTTAACAACTGTGACAAGAAAGGTTGTAAAATGGGGCAAAACTCACTTAACAAATGTCTCACCTAGCAACATAAATGTTGGGCTCAATTGTGATTGTAAATAGAGGACTACTTGTAATAAATAAACAAACAAACAAGTTATGCGTGGGTCATGACATCTCTGAAACTTCTCATAGCTTAGATATGAGTCCAACTGAAATTTATTCCTCTTTATAAAGTGTTAAGTAATTATGATCAAAGCCTCTCTGTATTCTTTTTGTGTATACAATGGCTCCAGTAAATTCTTTGTACATTCTTGCATTCAACTCTTAGCCTAGACCATTTATGGGAATTCACCATGAAGAAGTGCAAGTGAATGCAAATACCCCCCCCCCCCAAAAAAATATTGCTTGTGGCTGAATTGCAAGACTTCAGATCATAGCTGCAGGTTAAATGTCTGAACTGCCTTGTAAAACAATCCTCACCTCAGTTGTAAAAACGAGTATGTGAAAAGATTACGCCAAACTTTTTCTGACATCATACATGTGTCCATGTACATTCTATATTGTGTTTAACAAAGATGCAAGAGATAACATAGATCTTCATAAAATTAGAACAAGTTGATGAAACCCATAAGGAAACTCTCTATTAGAAGAAGAAAAGGATCAGATCCTTCTAGATTACTCTCTGACCAAAACTATTCAACTCTTATCTGCAGTGGGCTTCCTGTCAGATTATCTTCATCTGAACAAATGTCACTCTGAATAGAAATAATGACTATAAATGTTTCACCTGTTTCTACTTCTTAATATCCCATATGTAATCATATGTGTGTGCTGCATATTCCCAAGTTGCTTTTACTTTGGGCCCTAACTCCTCACTCTTTAAACAAAAGAGCTCGCTTTACCATTCAAATTGGCGTCCTTTCACTTTGGGATCATTCAGCAATGCAGCTGGATAATTTCTTTGGCTACTCGGTTATAGAGGCAAATGGTTCACCCAAGCAAGCAGTTGGAAACATCAATGGAGAAAACTTTAGGCATCAACAAATTAAATCAGTGTTCTGACACTCATTTTCCTTCAAGTTTCCTGGGCCTTCACTTCAACTATGCTAGCTTAGAATACAAAATAACTCCCACAGCACCAGATATTGAAAACAGTTTCAGCAAACATTGCACAATATTGAGTGATGCAGGCAGTTAGAGCCAAATAGTTGGAGGATCATGAGCTGATGACCCTTATCGAAGTGGAACCACTTTTGGCTATTTCAGAAGAAACAGCCATCTTTTTAAAACATCAAAACTGGTCTCAGGCAAACCACCATCCCTTGTATGGACGAGGGACTACCCTTACCCATTTCTTTCACTCCCGTTTTATTCCTTCCAAGCTGTCAATTTCAACCAATTCCACCCAGCAATTAATTCCAGGGCCTCTGTGGGTTAAACACACAAATACACCGACCACACACACACAAATCCTACCAGAAATAAATAAGAATGGCTGATGGTGTGAGCAGGAAGTATCAAGCTTGCCGAAATCGAGACCACATCCTGGATGGAAAGGCGAAACGAAGCAACTAGGATGACACCTGGGAACGAGTTGAGCCACAGACCATCTGAACGGCCGGGGCAGGGGAAAGGGTTCCATTCTGAAGGAAGGCATGGCTCTTCAGGGCCCTGGCAGGAGAGCAAGTTTTAGGAAGGAGAAATAGGCCAAGAAAAATCTCAGCGAGACGGGCCTCTGAGCAGGACATAAAAGGGGGCGAAAGGCAGAAGGACGCAGAAGCGGAGCACTCTCTCTCTCTCTCACTCACACACACACACACACACAAACACACTTCTTCCTTCTTTGCCGATTTTGAGACTGCATCCCTTCCTCCGCGCTCCTTTGCTTACCAGAGTAACGGGCCGATTCTGGCCACCTTTCCTGCGGGCTCGAGTTCCGTACGCCTTGCAACCCGCCATGCCGGGCCGGAGCAGCGGCGGCAGTGGCCCTCACCGGCCTCTAGGGCAGGGGTCGATCGCCAATCACACAGCAAGGCGGATCTTCTAACGGCCAATGGGGGAAGGCGAGGGGCACTCTTTCGCTGCCAGCCCCGCGATTGCGGGAGAGCGGTGGGATTCACGCTGCCCAATCAGACACAAGAAGGATTCTCTTCGCCCCCCCCCCCCCCCACCCCAAACTCGAGCGTATCAAGAAGGCGCGAGGCTGTCCAATCAATGGAGACAAGAAGCGGAGGGGGGCTCCAGGACGTCCAATCAGTTTGGCCACATTTTCTCTTCCCCCACCCGCCGCTCACTTCAGTCCTGGACTGGGCATGAAAAGGCTTTTTAGCCAATTGCGACATAGTGTAGGACGATGGCTTTTCCCGGCAGAGTTTGGAACGGCCGGGAGGGCATAAGGATTGGAATCTCAGATCTCAACCCATTACCTCTAATGGAAATCGCTACCGCTGCTACTCTCTAAAAGGCAAACGTATCGTTTCAAAGCGGTATCTAATGTAGAGTTGTGGCATATAGCGAGGCGCCGTTGGCACGCCTCCATCTTCAAGGTCAAATTATTGCTTTGCGAAGGGTGCTCTAGTACCAGCCAGAATAACTCTGGGGGCCTTTAGGACTCTTTGGTTGTTTTCTTCCAGACGTTTCATTACCTAACTAGATCAAATAGATCAGGCGTGCCTAAGCGTACAATCGTGTCTACCGTCCCTCTCCTATTGTTCCCAATTATTCGTACCTATTTCATGTATTTTTATACTTACGTTTATTCTTATTTCTATTATATTGTAAGTGTTTGACAAATCAAATAAATAAAATAAATAACATCCACAGTGAATGGTGTTAAATCTTCAAGTATCAATAGTAACTGTTATTAGAAGCACGAGCTTGCGTTGTAATATTGCAATAACAGATAATCAGAGTTGGAAGGTACCTTGTAGGTCATCTAGTCCAACCCCCCACCCAAGCAGGAGACCCTACACCATTTCTGACAAATGGCAGTCCAATCTCTTCTTGAAAGTCTCAAGTGATGGCGCTCCCACAACTTCCGAAGGCAACTTCTGTTCCATTGGTTGATTGTTCTCACAAGCTTGTTCTCACAAGCTTGTTCATGTTTTAACAACCATGGTTTAATCAGTTAAGTATGCCCATCTGGATCTTGCTACAGAAAACCATAGTTTTTAGTTTATAACTTCACTGCAAACTCAGCCACTACATTATGAAGATCCAGAAGGATTGGTTACTCATATATAAGGAGGCTGTTGCCAATACTGTCATCCCCCAGGGTTTTCCCCCTTTTAGAATACCTCAGACTTGCAAAACAGTCCAGAGGCACTCTTAAGCAAGTCATTCTAGCAGGAGGAGCAAGAATAACCTTCCAGTGTAGAAAACCAAGCCAAGGACTGGAAGGACAGAGTGTAAACCCAATGAGATTGGGTTAATATATTCCTACAATAGGTGGATGGGCCCAGGGATAATAACAGCCCTTCCCCCAATGCAATGACTGGATGGATGAGAGAATTTGGTGTCTCTGACAAAGTGAATCAAGAGTGTGGTGGCTGCTTGCAGACAAGGAAATATTCCAAGATTAGGAGCTGAAAGGGCAACCACGGATGACTCACATGGGGCTGGAAACAGGAGCTCTCTGGATCCCTGATGTCATATATCACACTCATAGATCAATTCAAAGAAGTATCAGCACTGTCGTTTTTAACATCATCCACCTTCTTGCTCACCAGATTGATTGAGCCGATTGTCACATCTTTGAAAATACCTTGTCAGGGTCTGGCAGATTTACTACTTAACAGTAAGCATATATATTCTTCCATTCTTTATAATATGCCTCACCTATGAGAGATTCTGAATCTTTTTTTTTTCTCCTCCTCTGACTTAGTTCATCCTCTCAGAGACTTCAAAAACAGAGCAGAAAATGCACCGCTGTATATCTATGACGGAATACACAAAGCAATGTTAGAGCCAGGGTTTAAATTTAAATAACGTTAATAGAAAAATAGCTTGATTCGAGTCCCTTTCTTTTAACAGGCATTCCATCCACTTTATAACAGATAACAGATAATCAGAGTTGGAAAGGACCTTTTGGTCATCCCGTCCAACCCCCCCCCCCCCAAGCGGGAACCCTACACCAGGGGTCTCCAAACTTGGCAACTTTAAGCCTGGAGGACTTCAATTCCCAGAATTCCCCGGCCAGCTGGCTGGAGAATTCTGGGAGTTGAAGTCCTCCAGGCTTAAAGTTGCCAAGGTTGGAGACCCCTGCCCTACACCATTTCTGGCAAATGGCAGTCCAATCTTTTCTTGAAAGTCTCAAGTGATTATCTGTGATTTGCACTGATTTCCTGGACGCGGTCAGATCACCCAGAGTTCTATGTGCCGCGATTTATTTATTTTTGACACCTTCTCATTTTTTCCATCCTCCTGAGTTTTGCAGGTCCCGCTTCCAACGAGTCGTAGAGATGCCGGGGAATCAGGCGCGTCGTTTCCCGCCTCGTATAAATGGCTGCATTCTCTCCGATTCTTCCCAAATCTGCTGGCGCTCTCGTAGCGCTTCCCTAGCTTACTAATCTTGCTACACGAGGTCTTTACTGATCCACCGGATCTGGAAAAGCAGAACTAGCTGCCCGATGAAAGCGATACCGCTGAGTTTAAGGCGGTAGTAGCGGAACTTCGACTGAGGAGAGCTCGCAAGCCGTTAGTCCCGGTTCGGCTATCGTAGTCGGACCGTACCCAAACATTTCTCTTAAAAAATGAATAAATAAAGAGACAATGCAAAGGGAAATTTGCAGAGGCAATCTTTTTCATTCCCTTTGGGCGCGTAGCAACATTTTTTTTTCTTTTCAAAGCAAAAGATATTGCCAGCTGCAGTTGTCAGCAATGCAATTCTGTAGGAAGAAAAAAAAGCCTGCCTTAGACAATTGGGACCACCTCAAAATTTTTTGATTAGGATGATGAATCTATCTGGGTGTGAGGTGGGTGTGTAGGTATCTCGTAATGGCAGCTTCTGGGGTGGGGGGGAAGCTGCATCTCGGATCTGATTTTGGTTTCTGAGCCCAACCATTGTGTTGATTCAGTGAACTAAGATTAACCCTGACAAAATGCATGTGTGAAACTAATCATGTATGAGGTTGGAGTGAACCTCACTAGAGTGCTTGTGTCTGTGTAAAGGCACCTTTATGGATTTGTATCATTTTTGCCCCACAACTCAAAAGGCCTCGTCTTGTCCATGAAGCTGTGTCAGAAGAATGAGGACACTCCAAAAGCAACAGTAGGGCTCACACATTTGGAAGTAATCAGTAGAATATATATTACCACTAATGAGGAAGTCTTACTGTATGTAAGGTGTCAGATTCTAAAACAGCTTCCTGTTTATCCTGCTAAAAATATATTTGACCACACTCAGTGGGAATCCTGAGAGATGTAGCTGCCACATACAGCTAGTCCTTGACTTACAACAGTTCATTTAGTAACCGTTCAAAGTTACAACAGCACTGGAAAAAAATAACTTATGACCAGTTTTTCACACTTGTTATAACCTTTGTAGAATCCCCACGATCATGTGATCAAAATGCAGATGCTTGCCAACTGGTTCATATTTATGAACATTGCTGTGTCCCAGGGTCATGTGATCACCTTTTGCAACCTTTTGACGAACAAAATCAATGGGGAAGCCAGATGCACATCGACTGCACTGATTCACTTAGCAACTGTGGCAAGAAAGGTCGTAAAATTGGGCAGAAAAACTCACTTAACAAAAGTCTCACTTAACAGCAGCAATTTTGGGCTCAATTGTGGTCGTTAGTGAAGGCCTGCCGATATCTGGAAGACACTGCGGGGGGGATAGAAAAGCTGGATGTGGTTAGTTCAGCCTTCTGACTACAACATTGTTTCTAGAGGAATTTCCAGCATATCCTCTTTTGCCCTCTTCAGTTGCCTGCAAAAGTGCAAGGCTTGGCCCAGCCATAGTTACAACGTTTCCTTGTGAAATGGCCTAATTGTGCAGTGGCTGTTTTGAATCTCTACTTTTAGCAACACCAAATAGAGGCAAGAAAGGTACTGTGTTTTGTAGTATCATCATGGGACCTGTCAAATGCTGTTTATTGTAAAACAAAGTAATATTTTTAGAGTACCTATCACAATTGCCAGTTCTGTTTAAACAGGTATCAGAAGATAAGTACCAGAAAGGTAGGCACAATTTGAGCAAAATAAATGGCTAACCAATGTACAGAAAATTGTGTTCTCCCCAAGGAGATTAAAGCACAAAGACAATAGAGAAAACTATTCAGTGGAAGCAAAAGAATGGAAACTGATAACAAGGCAACTATGATCTTATAGACAACGATCTCTCATCCCTTGATTGGCAATCTCTATTCACTGGATGCAATACCGTTGAAGACCATTATAACATATTTTTACTTGAAGTCAAAAGAGTCATCAAACTATATGTACCAACAACAACTCCCAAAACAAAACAAAAAAGCAGATTACCCATATCAATAAGGAAACTTCAATCCAAAAAGAGATCACTCTGGCGGAAAAACAAATCTGGTCACGTTGCCAATTTCAAAAACCGATACAAAAATCTATGCCACCAGATAAAGACCGAATGCACCAATTATCACATTAAACAAGAGGAAAACCTTCTAAGCACCAATTCCACCCGCGCTTTTTACAATTTTGTAAACAACAAACTAAAAGACTCAAGGTCCATCCCTCCCTTGATAGGACCTGATGGTAAAGACTGCAACGACGACACCATTAAAGCCAACATCTTTAACACATTCTTCGGCTCAGTATTTGTAAACAGCAATGGATCATGCCCAATATTTCCTAGCCGTACCACAGATAACAACAATGATCTAATACATATCGATTTCACAGAAGACAATGTTGAAAAAGCAATACGCAACCTAAAACCATCTCTATCTATTGGACCGGATGGAATATGTGCCTACTTCTTAAGAAAG